GTTTAAAAATTTCCAAGTAAATAACAGATGTCAGAACTTGTTTTTTTGGAGGGGATTATTTATCATGTATCGATCGACTTTTTGAATTCAAAAATTCATATATAAGTATCCAACGAAGGCCCGCACATTTATTTTCAATTCTTCGCCAAAGTGATATTTTCAAGCGAAAACAGAAAATGAAGTCAATTTTACTGCTTACACTTTTTTCATTTTTTCTTTTCGCAAAGGTAAGAATTAGATAATTTTTTAAAATAAAATTTCCGGCACATTGTAAAGATACAAAATTAAAATAAAAAAAAAACTTTGGAGTCAATCGTTTAGAAATCATGAAAATTTCAAAAAAAAAAAATCATTGGTAATTTTTATCATTTTTTTTTATCTAGTCGGAAGATTACGAAACAATCCATTCGTTGGTTGAAAGATTTTATGGAAAAGCGCTCGAACATAACTGCAATTTGAGACCGAGGTTGGATTTCATGTACAAATTCTCTAAAAACGATGATAAAATGATAGCAAAACTCAAAAGTACTCTGAGCGAATTTATGGATCGTAGCAAAATCAAGGAAGTTTTGGAAAAAATTCCAGAAGAATTTAGAATTAAGAAAAAGAAAGCTCGTACCGTACTAAAAACAAAAATCAATTTAATAAATAGTGCACAGACAGATGAAACGAAGGATTTGCATGACGCAATCTTAGTTGAAATTGCATTCGAATTGCCTGAATTCTACGACGATGAGGGCATCTTCGAAAATTGCTATAAAAAATGGATACATAAATCCATCGACATTCAACATTTAGAACAAGTGAAAAGAGACATATATTCCATGACATCGAGATACGATACATTTGTTGAAAATTTTAAAATAGAAATGAAAGGAGCCAATAATTTAACAGCAACCATTCAAACACACATTCATTTAGCTAATGATGTTGTCAATCAACTTTTACAGGCTTCGACACCTCAGATTGAAAAAATTGCCAATGAAAATGTAAAACCACGCTTGGATAAATTATCCGATTTATATACCGAGCTATTTGATATCCTCGAAAGTGTAAAAGAGTCTCTTGAGGACTATAACCTACATCGTCTAAGGTGGGCAGAGTTTTTAATTGGGATGCGAAGTAGCCATAATTCAATTCGCAAGTCCAAAGATGAATTAGATCTACTTTGTCAGTAAGAATCATTTTTAACGCAAATTATACGGTTGAATATAAAAATTAAAGACAATTATCCAAAATATCTCAATTTATTTTATTTTTATTTTTCAACTTTTTGAAGTCAGCACATTGATGAAAACAATAGCGATACGACCTTGATGTCAAAAATGTACACACTCACAACCGAATTGTTTTTGAACAAATTCGAAACCTTATTTGCTTACATTTGAAATGAATTTCACTTATTAAACGGTGTTTAAACATTCGAAAAAAACAAAATTCCAAAACTGAAGAAAATAATTTTGACACAAATGGATACTTACACTTACTCATGTTGATGAAGTAGAGAAAAAGTAGAGAAAAAAAGTAGAAAAATCTTAGAATTTTTTCACACCATTTTATGTATATGAATGACGCTCAAACGCGAGTCTTTACAGTGGATACTCCATTACTTTATTTTTCAATCGATAAGAAATAAAATAATTTTTTTTTTATTGATAAGCCGAAAATCATTCAAATTTTGAACAATATCAAATTGAATCGAAGCATTAAACAGTTACAAATAATTGTGGACGTCATCTGTTTTCAAGACATCAACGTTAAATACCATTACGTACATTATAAATACTATAACACTGCAAGCTTTTTGACTATTGTTAGTAAATTGGAATACATAGCCTCCGTGGCGCAATTGGTTAGCGCGTTCGGCTGTTAACCGAAAGGTTGGTGGTTCAAGCCCACCCGGGGGCGTATTCTTTTTTTTTACTGTGAAAATAACTCTATTTGGATTCTTTATCAATTTTTATTCTTTTTCTTTGAATGAGTACATTTTTTTTAATTAAAAAAAAACTTTCATTGATGATTCATCTTTTCGTTTAATTGAAACTTTTTTTCAATCTCAAGCGAATTACGTAACCGAATCAAAAATACATTTTTTTAAAGGATTTATTGAAACAACATGAGAATATTGAGAAACCTTATCTTTGAATTTTATCATACAATATCAATTCTTGTAATCTACAAGATCTAGATAAAATGAATATAAACATTTTCATGCGACATTTGGCCGATGGAACGGACTCAATTCAATGATATATTCAATGTTAAATGAATGTTGTTGTTGTTGTTCAAATTATCAAAATCACATATATCTTTTAAAGAATCGAATAAAATTTATTTGATTTTCAGTCATAACGAATAAATGTACAGCAGTTAAAAAATTGAAATTTATCCATAATATAAATATTTCAAGCTTATCTCTTTCTCTAGATATATTCCCCTTTACGTTCATATTTCTTTGGAATAATTTTTTTTAGGGCGTCCGCATTGACAATATGCATCGTTTCAGTTTACTTTTGAGTATATACACTTAATATTATTCAGAAAAGAAAAAAAAAAGAAGCTAAAAGCTTCTCTATATGAAATGTATTGACATTCTGAAAATTCCCAAAAAGATGATCTTTCATAATTTTTCAAAATCAATGGTTTTAATCAAGTGAAGAAAATGTGTAGATTTGATATTTTATGATGTAAAATCAAACATAGTTTTACACTGAAAACTAAAACCAAATCTTAAAGACTCCACTGCTTTGAACTATTCCCCTGGTTTCAAGTGTGTTTATTTAAATGTTTGACACGTAACGGAATTCGCAAATCTTACCGAAAGTAATGTGAAAATTCAATTTAAATTGATTGTGGCAACTTAGAAACTATGAAAAGATATACAAAAATTACATAAAAATAAATAAAATAAAAGCAAAATTAAAAAGGTTAAATTTTAATTAAAATAGAATGAGAATTGAAGCTGCTACCAAAAATCTCAACTCATCAAAAATGCAACATTCATAAATAAATCTGTACAAAAATAAAAATCTGAAAATTCAATTTCAATCAAAGACGAACAAAGTCCGCTGATACAACCCATATCCTTAACGAAGCTCCATTGAAGAAAAAAAAACTCAAACAAGTCATTCGAAAAATGCAAACACAACGTTCTATGTATTGTGAATGGTAATAGTAAAATGGAAAAAAAAAACCCACCCGCGTCAACTATCAATGTGTTGTTCTCGCGCGATACCAGTTTGTCTGGCAAACCAAAAATTTGGAACGGTACGCGAAAACTTGATGGATAAATGTTGTATATGTATGAGTGTGAAATCACCAATACATCGGCGAGAACGAAAAAAATAAACATGAGAATAGAACATAAATGTATCACAAACACCTGCGCGCAAAATTTCACTTTTTATATGAATTGTGGGAGCGTTGGTTGTGCACATGTGATTCGATATGCTATCTTTATGCATGTATGAGAGAAACTTTCGTTGTCGATGTGATTACAAACATAACTCATTCGAATCATTGGCAATTGTCAAATGGCTTGGATCCATCCACACACACAGAAGGATTTTGTGTATATGAAACATACATTTGTCTCGTTCGCTCCGATACATACACGCTCGTGTGTATTTGCGGGTGGTGAACAAGCGATTTATAAGTGTGTGGGTCGATGGATGAAAATATTTAACAGTGTAAAATACATATCTATATACAGAAAGTGAGTTGTAGGAGTTGAGCGACATCCGTTTGCAATTTCACATTAAGCCAACCAAACACATACTGTCACATAGCTGAATTTCAGTGAAATCAGTTTCGATAACTGCCTCTACTCGTTCGTATCGATGGTGTCACGGTGCGCGCCTTGTTCCATGTGTTTTAAACCATGAACAAATACCATTGAAAAGGCAACAACAACCAACCCAAAAAAAATCAGTTCTTTTCTTTTCATTTCTTTGCTTCTGTAACAAAACACAACTAAAATTTGTACGAATTTTTTTTTTCTGTTTAAAAAATAGACTATATTTGTGCAAAATAAATAACACCGTCCACACAAAGTGAATGAATACACTCGAGAGAGAGAAAGAAAAGGAAATATATTAATAAATACCATAGCAGAATCTCGTCAATTGAAATTGAATCGTTTGAATGGAGGACACAAAAACGAAACGGATGATTGATAATAATAAAAAAAAATATGTATAAAGTTCTGTTTATTTTTCTGAGCCTTAAATAAACTACCGTGATGACTCAGTGGTCGCGCACTATCCATTCGGGTCTCGAGTGAATTGACTTTTGCATGATTTTGACACTCTTTTTTTCTCTCTCCATCCCTCGAATCCAATCGGAATTGACCAACCGAGAAAACGACCACGTCAACAACGACTATTCTATTTTTCTATATAAAACAGTTCCAGTGCAGAAAAAAAATGTTGTGGATGTGAAATGTATAAAAATTGTGATAGATTTGTGAAGACTCGTCGAAAATCGCTAGTGAAATTTCGGACACAACGATAACGACGAGGCAAATCGACATTATAGATTGGGTTGTGATTGCATCAAAGGTCATTGAATGCGAACGAATCTATATTGCGATGAACCGAAACGTCGTGATTACATCGTGTGAAGCATAACACATTTGAATCGACATTTCAATAAAACAAAAAAAGAAGAAGAAGAAGAAAAACGAGAGAAAAAAATGAAACCTTAAACCGTAGTTGAGACACACGAAAATAAAATTGATAGGAAATCGTCGTCCAAAGCAAGTATATACATTGAAAATTGATTTGTGTGTTTGTTGCATTAAAACAATAGAACATCAACAACATATACAGTGAGGCACACACGCTAAAACACAGTCTCTAGCGCAAATATATATTCAAGCAAACATTTCAAACGAATCAATAAAATTTGATTAAATGTGTTGTCCGTTTGATGTGAGAAAAAGTACATAACTTCTCATATACACGAACAGCAAAAATCCACCACCAACACCACTGTCGTCGTCGTCGTTGCCGCACAACATCAAGCGCGCGCGGAGCACGGTGCAAAAAAAATCGACGAAAAACAAAGCATTTATTGAGAGACGGAAAACCACACACAAAGGATAAATATCATATATGAAAAAAAGAACACATGTAATGGAATGGAAACACTTTCCATCGCAAAAATTTTTCCAGTCGATGGGCATAGAGAGTACAACGAATTTTAACTGAACAAGTGTAAGTGAATGGTGACGGAAGACTCAAAGGATTCAATACGTGTTAAAATTAATGAAAACAATATCATAATAGCAGAAGGGAAAATAATATCATTCGGACAGCACGATTTGAAAGGGAAAGTGGCTTTGGAACACATCTGATTTGTAATGAGTTTGTGTGTTGGCTAACGGGATAATTATGTAATTCAATGGAAGGGGGAGAAAAACAATAGCATAGCGATAAGATTGATAAAAACCGTTCACCGTCAAGTCAATAAAAAAAAATAGACACACACGAAACAGCAGCAGAAGCCGTTGCTGAGGGTGCTCAAGACGGAAGATAAGAGAGAGCGAAAAAACGCGTTGAGGGATCAGTGGACACCAGAGACCGACACTCAAACACACACACACAAACGTTGATTTTGTGTTGGTGTGCACTTTTACCACTTACACACATACACGGTGCGCCTCCTCGCACATGTCGCGTTGGAGTGGTTCATGAGCAAAAACAAATTCACATGCTGATTCTCCAAAGTGAGACGACCGATAACTACGGCCACGGCGACAACAAAAAGAAAAAACACTTGTTTTCACACTGTAAGTCTGTTTGGCGTGCGGTGCGTATCGAAATGGTGATGTACAATACACATTTGTATGAGTGAACAACGCGAACTTTTGTGACTTTTTCCGAATTACTCTACCTGTTTCCATTTCAATAAAAACTCTTACTCGGTGTGTTCTTACTTTCGTGTCGGGTGTTACCTCGTTGATTTCGGTAACGCACAAAAAAAATTACATGGATAATAGACGAGTCAAATATCGCATGTAACAGACACTGTCTGTTGTGCACATCGTGTAGAATGGTTCGCATCACATCCCTTGAGTCAATTTCCATCCAAATCCCCGACCAAAAGCGAACCGGATAAATGAATAGTCAGCATGATATATAGAATTTCATGCCTTTTCCAACTAAAATAAATCGAGAATAAAATTTGAAATCCAAAAAAAAAAAAAATTCGTTTTTGCAATTAACTGTAAAAACGCCCCCAAAAAAACCCAAAGCCAATTTAAATCGAAGTAACGAGAGTGAGAAACGCACAGATTAATGATAATAATAGTGGTGTGTAGTAAATGTGAAAAATAGAAACAAAAACCGATATTTGTGAATGACTAGCACCATGATAAGTGGTAGTTCAGAGCAATTGCTCGAACAACAACAGCAAGAATTGCGAAATCGAAAGTTAAAAGAATTGGTGCCGAAAAAGAAAGCACCACAAGTGAAAAAGGTATCGTGGCGTGAACGTGCCAATTTTTATGCCACATCAACATTGGCATTTTTCTCGGTAACAGCCGGTGCATCGTTGTTATTTTTAGTGCCATTGTATGTTGATCCGGCCATATCAACGCTTACATCCGATTTCATTGAAAATCCAACGTGGTGCACAACAACACGACGCGAAGATGTCGTTGGTTTAATGAATTGTTCGTGGAGTTCATGCCGTGAAGGATGCACATCCGATTTATATCGTTGCACGCATATTTATGTTACATATATTGTTGAAACGAGCAATGAAACATTTTATTCAAATTTATCGACAGCAATATCGATGGCAATCGATAGTGATATGACAATGGCCAGAAATCTTATGCAAATTGCATCACATACAATTAGCAATATCACCGATGTCACACATTCGGACGAAGCAATTTTATTGGTGAATATCAAAGGATGCGGCTATCCACCGAGTGTTATGTGTAAGAATTTTTCCGATTTGTATGGCGAAGAGGGTACAATATTTCCATGCTATTATTCACGAACAAATCGAACGCTTGTCATGACCGCATACAATCAATCGTCTCAATGGTCAATGATTATAAATTTCTTTTTTGTGCCATTCATCATCACCGTTGTCTCATCGGTTGGCCTTTGTTTTATGCATTGTGATTGTAGTTGCCAAAAAGAGCGGCCACGGCAACGACAACGCGAACGCGAACGATCTGAACGTGAACGTAGCACCGGCGGTACGGCTGGTTGCGATGAAAGACACTTTTGTCGTCGGCCCCGTTTGGATAATTTGAGGTAAGTTCCTCGTTTTTTTTTTTAAATATAAACAACAGAATTTGTACAAATTAATTAAGGACACTTGCATTCTCTCTCGACAACAATATTGAAATACGTATAATTCAACGTCGAATGTAAACTTATTCAACTCCAATGGTCCTGTTACTAATTAGGCAAAACAACGCAATGCTTCAATACGTGACTTTGTCGCTTAATTAGTGCAAAGCGTGAGAAGGAGTGAGTGAGAGAGTGAGAGTAAAAGAGCACATTTTACACTTCCGTCAACGTCGTCATTACATGCCATTTTAAATTGAATTCCAGCCAACTAATTGACACAATCATTTTCGCCAATTTGCAGCTTTGTAATGTATAATTTTCAATGCAATTTTCTTCTCCTCGTTGTTTTCGTTTCCCCTTTTGTTGTTTCCCTCTTTTCCTTTCTTTTCGTACATTTTTTTTATTATTTTACATGCTCATTTCATTTGGTAGCGTCGTATTGCACAAATTGAGCCACTTCAGTCATTTGACGCGTGCAAATATATCCGCTTTCAATGAAAACAAAATCCAAATTGAGACCGGGTTTTTTGTTTTGCTTTTCGTGCGCCAAAGTTTTCTACTCTTTTTATTTCATTTCACATGAAAGTCAGTCGAAGGAATTTACTTTTACTTTGAAAAAGTATTTGCGTTTTTCTGTGCTTTTTTATAACGGGCGTGGAAGAGATTTGTTCATATTACAAGTTCATTAATGCAAATCTGATGAAAAGTTCACAGAGTCGCAGTCATCGTAAATGAGAAAAAAACCGAAGGATATCACCAAAGAGGTTAGAAAAAGGATTGTAACATGAAAAAACAAAGACCTAAAAGTAGTCAAAAACCACAAATGCCGAGAAAAAGTCCACAAAGTCTTAACGGAAAACGCAAGGAAAATGTTTGTGTGAGAAACAGGAAAGTGAAAGAAGCCGCAAAAAAGGAAAGAAAATGTCAAAAATGGAAGTAAAAAAAAAAGTTTAAAAAAAGATAGAGAGACCGGGAATGAGTGAGGGTTGTGTTCATATATAAGTTTTTCTCTCTTCGTATTCAAATTAATTATGCACATGCAATGTCACAAACAGCCTGTGCTTGGGATTTACGATAGGTTGTCGTGGCACTCCGCGCGCAAAATTCGGATCATTCGGTGTGTGCGCGCGCATTGCCAGCGCATACATCGGCCCAATGTAAACTGATTAAATTTTATGTGACACGGAATTGGCTAAACTTGAAATGAATTACTTTATAAAGCAGCAAGTTGCATGTCTATTCCCATCGTATCGAATAATTTCATATATTCCAACTCTCATCGGCCTTTGTAGCTCTCTATTTATTATTTTCATATAAATAAAATTATGATGAAAACACAAACCTCTTGCATATATACATTGTTATTCAAATGAATTTCCTGCGATGCCAAAACACGGTGCATTGTTTGTTTCGAATAAGTTGACCTGTTTGAATCTATTCCATCTCTAAAATATTCAAGCCATTCATCGAATTCGAATGAAAGTCAAAAACGTAGGAAGTGGAATAAACTCACATTGGCAAAAAGGAATTGGTGCTTCAAGGTAGACATGAATGAATAAGTGGTGAATGAGCTTGGAATTTGGCAAAGAAGAAGAATGAGAGGATAATGGTGAAAGGAGATTTTGAGAAGAAAACGGCACCCGTACAGATTCAACAACAAAAAAAAGAAATTCATACCGCACACTTGCTACAGGCATTGCAGTGCATGCTAATTAATGTGCAAGGAAGCACAAAAAAAGAAAATTTAAAATTAAAATGCACATTCAAAAATGCAAATGAATGTATTCTTAACAATGCGCTGCAGCATGACCAACGAAGAGCGGCAAAGGCATTGGTTATGTGCACACACCACACTTCCTGTTATGTCAGCCGGCAAAAAAAGCACACACACACAGTAATGCACAGACAATAGAGACCACAGCAAGAGAGCGACAGAATGAGAAATGAGAGGGGTTGCCGAGGACGAGAGATAGAAAGCTGTAAAATATATTGAGTATCATGTTGAAAAGAGAGCTTATATGTAAAAAGTGGAACGGAATAAAAATGAACATCAGCGTTGAATGCACTTAATTGGTTGAGCTTTCCAAGCCACATTTATTATTATATGAAAGGCCGCACAATTTGCGCGATAAATTTCAATAAAAATAAGTGGATCGTTTTACACACGATGAAAAATCGTACAGTAACTCATTCTCATTATGCTCACATTCATTTTGAAGAGGCTCGTTAGACGCGGTTTGTGTGTTGTCAGCTGTTCGCGAACTTGAACTGCTGCAATACTGCACACAAGCTGAAGCTAGTTTGAAGATAGCAAACAAAAAACAAACGTGTTATAAACAGGTAAAAAGAAGCCACATGTTTCGCTATTTTCGGACGACACCATGTCTCCATGAGTGCCGAATGTATATGTTCCGACGAAAAAAAGGGAAGCTCATAAATTTGTACTTCCGTTCGACGGAAGTAATTCTTCGTATTTGTGTCATTAAATCGAACGTGACATTGGCATTTTACATTTTTGCCGAGATTTAAAATACACACAAACCATAACAAATGAAGTAAAAACATGCAATGCATTTGAAATTCTGTGTCAATTAAATGGTATTCAGGGCTTTCTTCTCTCTTTTTTTTTTCATTCGATTGCTTGGCGATATGAACCAAAAATACGATTTGAACGGAAGACATTCGACCACAAAATGGCAAACGAAATATGGATGGAAAAGAGATATTGGCGAGAGTGTGGGAGTGCAATGTGCTTGCATTGCGCATTGAATATAGGTCAGTTTTTGCTGATAGTCAGACACAAATGGGTGGGCGGATGCAGATAGCATTTGAACAAACATATAACGATATGATAGCATCATGTTAACTATACAATCTGTGTGCATGTCTCTTTCTGTCTCTCTCTCATCGTGGTGACACAGATCGAAGCATATTCGAATCGAATATAATGAACAGCACAAATGACATTTAACAACAGTTGAGCGCTCATGCTTAACACTAAGAAAGGGGGCCCACCGGAATCTAGTTGTGCGTTTGGCACTGTGAGCGAAGAAAATGCAGCGGTGGTGACATAATTAATTGAATTTTAAGTGGATGTAAGCATTTTGACATCAAACTCTTGACGTTCGGCCCACTTCTTGCCACACAATATATAAATTAAATCATATTTACGATGATTTAATTGCCATTTCGTAAACACTTTTCAGCCGAACGAATTAGCAGACAAATTATATTTTCGACGGAGAGACAATGTGACAGTGAACGGTATGAGCGACAGATTGTGTTTTTTGGCCGTGCAACAAACATTGCAAATCTAATTAAATGCCGAAGTTTTGTGGTCGCACGTGATGTACGACCACCACATAACAATACATTTCTTTTATTCATACTCAATTAACTATCTCGTCGGGCCCCATTCTCGATTTTATTGTGTATTTTATACCTTGAAGTGCGCGCGCGAGCGTTTGCGACACACTCATAAATTTTCCAACGACGACTACAGCGCTATCTTCCTCTTTGCCATTCCTTTTAATGAGATACGGTGTCAATCATTTTCCATCAGCCCTGAAGGTGAAATTCTGATGCCAAACAGATACGCAGAGACATACACAGAGCATGTATGACAACAAATGAATCGAATCGATTTAATTAAAAAAAAAAACAGATGGCTGTACTTTAATTTCATTTTTGAAGAATTTCCATCCATTCACTCACTCATTCTATCGATCTGAAAATATCATGTCGTTTTCAATGGATTTTAATAGAGTCAGTGCCGTTGGCCGCATTCCCACAATTCAACGCCACCATTTATCTTTCCGACGTTGATTTTGCCTCATTTCAATTTCGAAATATACAACATTTTCCATGCAATATTTTCATGAAATGCAAAAAAAAAAACGCATATCGGTTGCTTTGCTTCAATTTCGCTCTATCTTCCTTCCAAACCCCTCTATCTCTCCCTTCCATCTATCTCTGTTGATTTCTGTATTAAACCGCCCGTATTCTTCCTTCCCTCCGTCCATGAAATGAACATGTTGTTCCGGGTAAACGGAAGCATAGCATTTATGCAAACATCGTGTAGGATATATGAGAGATAGATAAGACTCGAAGCGCGATGAGCGTTTTTCAATGCAAATTTACTAGTTTTCTCTTGAACATTTCATTTTTGTTCTCATGCTATTTCCATGAAAGTCAGTCAGTTTTTTTATACACGCGATGGACGGTTTTTTTCACATTCGAGATTATTTTTCTCATTTCGAACTGCGTTTCCACTCAACTTCTGTTCGCTCATGATTTTTCATGTCTTATGACGATTTTTCTTTGATTTTTTCCATCTTCATACAATTTCTTTCTGTGAATTCATTTTTTTTACATTTTATGCATCTTTTTCTTGGACTTTTTTTTTTTTTCATTCTCCGCAAATCAAAACGATTTTTGCATATTGCAGTGGTTTTTTTCCGTAATACATGACATTTTTCCTTGGTTGTTTTTTTTGGTCTATATGACTCTTTCTGTTTTCATTCGCATTTGTCTCATTTTCCATCACGGTGAAGGCTTCACCCTCTGTTCGCCTCTCTTTTTCCTCACCATCTTCAATAACTTTTCTCATATTTCGTTGGATTCATTGCATTTGTGATCATATTTGTCTTAATCTGTTGAAGTTTTCGATCAATTCAAATCATTAATTCTCTCATTTATGTCACAGTATGTGGTTTTGTAGTGCCATCGTTCACGCTTGAATTTAATGAGTTCTCTTTTTCTATTTGCAGTGATTCATCAATATCAACGCGCGTAGATATGCTAACACCTGCAGTTGAAGTGTATAAACCGCCTCTCTGACATAAGGACGAAACGGTCGAAAGTAATTTAGGCATCGTAGTACCATCGACAAGCAGCGAACTATAAATTGCAAATATTTTCGGCAACTAATCTATATATATATTCATGAAATTCTCATTCGATACACACACACACACACAACCACTCATTCAACTGAATTCCAAAGCCCCCGCATACCAACCAAATTCCGTTCGGTTCATGTGATTTTGTATATTTCATCGCGTCGGATGGATTAAATTGGATGACGCTTTTGGATTGATATTAAGATGAAAATTCATTTTTCCAGTTATCGCTCTATAGAGCGTCAGTTGCCGATTTTCCGAACGAATACATTTTTTTTTGCTACAAGACTGATCTGAAAGCAAACAGTTTTGGAGTAAACTTAAGCGAGCGAAAGCAAGTATTTGGTTTTTGTTTCATTTCTCTCGAGAGCTCACTCGTTCGAGCTTAAGTGGGCTTGAACAGAGTGTGAATTTTAAGAAGCTAAATCGTTTCGCGGGGTAATTTTTTTTTGGATATCCAGCAAAATTCAATTAAACATGGGAAAGTAACATAATCGCATTATACATTTAGGTTTTATAGGGTAATATAAGTAAGAATTCCAACATCCACGCATTATGAGCGCTTTCACTCACACCCACATAATCTTTATCAATCAATGCCCATTTTTGACAAAAGAGCGGAAGCAATTAACCCTGAATAATAAATTTAAATTTTAACCCACAAAAAAAGGGCGATACGAAAAAAACGGGCGAATGATTATGTGCGCGACATTTATTATTAGTTAATTTCATTTCACAAATAAAACACCACATTTTTACAATACACACACACATACAAATATAAAATTAAATGACACAACTAAAAGGCCATGCGCACCCATAAATTTACTTTAAAATAAATTAGGTTTAATGTTCAAAAGAAGAAGAAGAAAAAAAAAACAATTTAACAGCAACAACAGAAAAACCAAAAAACTAAATTTATCACGGAATCTAGTCTTTAAGCGATAAACAACATTAGCGAAGAGCATTTATTGTTTGTGTCATATACGTATATAGTCAGTGTGCGTGTGGCGACGACGAACTTCTTCACGTCAACACACCAATTGCATATAAGCCATATATATTGAGCCATAAAAGCGAAAGCTCTCTCGCTCTGCACCTAGAAGGGAAGCAAGCGACCGAAAAATGGAACAGGAGGTGCTCTTTTAAAGAGAAAACGATAAAGAACGTGTATTGAAAATGAGACAGTCGAGAGGAAGGAAAATGGAAAGTGAGCGTGTACAAAATATGAGAGTATGAGAAAACAATGAAAGAGCTTGGCGGGGGCTCAACAATGGAATTAGCCAACATTAAACAGCAATTTAAACCATTGAGCGTGCTCGATGCAAAAAACATTCAATTCAGCTGTTTAAAGTTTTGTGAAAACTGATTTTGTGCCGATGGTTATCGTCGTGGGGGAGGTCATTCGTTCGTCGCTGACAAAATTCGTTTCTTTTTTTCGCATTTTGAAATTGTTATAACCAACAAGTTTCTACGCTAATAGAAACCACACACACATAAAAACACACATTTTCCCCCCAATACACGAGAAAAAGTTGTAAACAACAAATTTGTTATAATAAAATAGATGCAATTGGTTAAGTTTATTGATGAAAAAAAAAACATGTTAGATTGTGAAAAACATTGTTTGGTGTGCTATTGACAGGTATATAAATATAATGAATGTATTTTATTATTGTTCACACAGCCATTGGCTAAAGCGATGAAAAGGCTGTTTGTTTGTATTCGTTATAAATTTAGGTACATTGTTGCCCATTTTAAGCAGATATTTTTTTAAAATAACGGACATACACGGCAAAAACACACACACATTTTTGTTGTTAATTTCGTTATTATGAAACTAAAAAAAGGCATTTTCTTATGAAAAAATTGTTCAAACATTTAAAATAGATAACAAATGGAACCGTTGGCAAATTGATATACTAGACAGATACACACAAAAATCGATTGAAACCAAATTGTTCGGAATAAAGAAAACAAAAACACCAATCTCTGATATTGACGTTGATAAAATGAATTGATGTCGACAGTAAAATGCAATTCAATTTTGTGTGTGCTGAGGCGACGGCGAATTGCATTTTGTTGATGTTCGGATAAACCGCCAAATATGAATGAAGCGTAATTAAACGGAATTTATATCGCATTTATATGATATTATAATATAGATGATTCGTTTTTATCGCAACAACTCTATATATATGGAAATTATAATTTCAAATGAATTGAAAACCAATTTTCCCTTATCGAGAGACAAATCACATGGAAAATTGCTTCATATACAGTCGTTCTCTCATCAAATTGCACTTCTCGTGGCACACACACAAAAAAACAACAAAATCGATACACACATCAATTCAAATTTCAGATTTATATACGGCAATACTACACGGATGGATAGAGCGATGTGTGTGTGTGTGTTTGTTTAAATGCCAAAATATGGATGAGTTTGCATTAATTATTCATATCTCGGTGGCTAATTTTCGTACAGATTATATCCGTACACTCAATCGAATTTTCGATTTGGAACTTATGTCATTGAATTCAATAGTTTTTGACGAACTTATCGTGACGATAATATAATAATGCATGGTATGGGAATTGTTGTAATATATTTTGATTGCATATAGAATTGTTTGTATTTGAGAAACTTTTGAAACCATTGGAATTGTGGCATGTATGCCGAAAATTATAGTTATTGACAACCAAACGGTTTCGGAAATTAGCACAAATTATCGTGTTTTAGCAAATATACACACAATTCACCTACGTACAGGGTATTTCAAAGATTTGTGGCAACACAAGAACGTCTCTTTTTGAAGACGGTGAATCGCCAGAAATATCGCCTTTTTCATCACCATGGTTCAATTGAAAGGATATTTTTCCATCATAGGTGTTGGCGCCAAAGATTTGATAATGGAAAAAATCTAAAATCGATTGACTATTGAGAAAAGTCGATAGAATCTAGTGTATGCAATTAAAAAAGCAGTTTTGATTCCACTCGGAAGAAAATTATGGGGAAGTGAGAATTTTGGCCAAAAAACCCCAAAAAAGATCTTGTCATATTGATTCCTATTCTCATGGTCAGATTTTTTTGAGGAGGTAGCATTCGGTGGCTGTGTCAACAACTATGTTTTTCATGTTGATCAATTTTACTAGATTTTAAACGATCCATCTATTCGACAAGACAAATGAAAACTTTGTATTAAGATTTCTATGATTGTAAGCGTGGTAAAAATGTTCAAGACATGTCGGAATTATTCAACTTTAATTAAAGAATTTTGTGGTATATTGTCATGGATTTTTGAAAGACCCTGGCTAACAGCAATCTGCCCCATAATTTCAACTAATAAAAAATGTACATTCATCTCGCTCTTTTTCTGAAGCAGTAAAATGGCGCTTAACCCAAATGGTCAACCAATTTAACTCCAATACCACTTGTTTTGAACCTGAATCAAACACTTTGTTTATAAACACGTAACATTTAGTTTTGGGTGACCGCAACAGCCACCACCCACCACACACACAAAATATGTCACGCGATCCATTATTACTAGATTTCCATCGAACACGATTTAATGAATTTCAATTCAATACACCCATCATAACAAACAAATATGTGCACGGCACACTGCGTCTATTCACGGCCGTCTACATATGAATGTTTGATGATGGGTTTTCATTTAGTGCATATCAATGAAATGCAATTTACAATTTTCTCTTTTAATTTTCACATATATTGACCCTATTTGCAATAAGCAACTGTGTCCCGACACTCGTGGGCCAGTTTATTTTTTTAAATAATAACAAAACAAAAAAAATTATAAAATATATATATAGAAAACTGATCAAAACGCACAGACAGAGTACCAAGTGTTAGAACCAAAACGAAACAAAAAACTTTCACTTTTGCTGAATTTACACCTACACACAAATGATAAGTTTTCATCCTTTTACACTAACTCGAAGTAGAAGCTATTCTTTGTTTTGCGGTGTTTATTCAAAAAAGTTTTTTTTCACGATATATGTTTAAACATTAACATGCACAGTGAATAAAAAAAAATATTATTAATAATATAAAAGCTTTGTTAGTTGCACGAAAACGTAAGAGAAAACCCATCGACGACAAAAAAATGAACAAGTTCGATTTGAAACTTTTTTCTATGTAAATCAAAAACAAGGATGGGGAGGGGGAAAAGAACCCAAAGAAATACACATTAAAGATAGCAATTTAGGACGATTAAGTGAATGCGATTTGAAGGCGGTTTTTGTTTCTCGTATTCTTTGTTTGTTCCGCTCGGTTGGATTTGATTAACATTTCGATTCTTTTATTTTGTTTGAGAAGAGAAACTTATAATTTCAGCATACATTTTCCCGTTTACCGAAACAAAGTCAAGCATGTGGAAGGCATAACGAAACAATTTGATTGAATTCTTGCCGTGTTTTTTTTTCGTCTCTGTTTCACATAATAGAATAAAAAATGTAATGAATGAAATTTGGAATGATTTTCAAAGAATTTAGCGAGAAATTAAGCAAATTCCCGACAAATAAACATTAAAATAAGTAATTCATCGGGAAAATTAAAACGCACCAAAGTGAAAACAATGAGAATGGAATTTTTGTCTTGGTTTCTCTCTTCTCAAGCATCAATTGATCTATGTTTTGAAGAACCCCCACACCAAATCAATGAGTGAGAACGAAATGAAGAAAACGAAAAAAAAACCAAGAATATTGTGGCCACATTTAATCCCACGAAACGGAATACAGCAAAATATAAAAAAATGGGAATGAATTTTCTCTTAATAGAAGAAGTAAAATCTACAGATTAACCTGAAGTGGCGTCATCATCCACTGAAAAGAATTTTAGACTTAAATCGCAAAATTAAAAGACAATGAAATTAAAAATAGCAAGACGCTTCAGTATCTATTAGGCAGAATAGCTGTAAGACAGACACGTGCGTGGGAAGAAGGTATCAAAAATATCATCAATGATAGCAATGGCCGCAAAAAAAAGAAGACATGTACTTTGGTGCTTCACGTAACAGATGCATGAAAATAAAAACACTTGTCAATACGACTGTCATCAATATGCATGAATCTGCTGACGTTCGCTGAACAGGCAATATTCGTACTGCTTACATATGATTACAATTTTTTTGTTTTTGAACATTGCATTATTGATGATGATGTGTGTATACAAAATATAAGCTTCTACTTATAATGCGACAAAATGACAGCTTTGAATATAGAATATTAGACAAATTTACGAATTTCAACACACATAAGAATTGTTTCTTGCGTGAAAGAAGCCTTCTTCTCTCCCCCTCCGTCACCACCACACCTCCCATCTCTCCCAACCAACAACGACAACAACAATCAACAAACAATCCCCCATCAAGTCAAGAATTTAAAAGCAAAATAAACATATTTTTATGGTATTATTGAGCCCGGTTAACGGTCACTCCCAGAACGAACGAACGAACACACAAAAAAAACACACACTCTTAGCAAACAAAAATGAAATTTAATGAACGAACATTGTGCGAATGACAATATATTTAAAAGAAAAATATGAAGAAGACAAAGAATACACATACAGAAAATGTTGACGATGAATATGATATAATATATAGACAGAGGTATTTAAATAAAATAAAAAAAAACTATTTATTGTTTGTTACATATGGAAAGTAAAGTAATATGGAATGAATTTAGTTGAGCCAGAAATGTAGAGACAAGATATATATACATTTAAAACTATTTATGACTAGGCGAATAACAATGGACATTTAACATATAAACTAAAAAATTTAGTTAAAAAATTGTAAAAAATAAATGTGAAACGGTTGGGACGCATCCAGAGCAACCACAAACACACTTACAACCGAAATTGATTTGTTAAAAATTGCAAACGTGTGGTTTGTGTGATTCGCACAGCATATTTTCTTTCTTCTTTAGTCTTTCTCGCCAGTCTCTCTGGTTTGCGTCCAAATCAAATGCATTGCACATATAAAAACCTATAGGAAGAGAATTGTAACAATGAATCAAATAAATGAATGAATATATATTATATATAATAGTATATTTTGCGAGTTGAAAACAGGCTTCTATATATATATATTTTGGTTGGAATGTGATAGGAATTTATTTTGAGCAATACATAAACATATATCAAATTGTAGAGTGTTGAGCCATGCACTGTATCAAAATTTGTGGTAAATAGAGTGTTACGAGCATTTTCGTCATGCCATTACATGCATGGCTCAATGTAGTAAGGACTCGAGGGCTTTGATCTCGTAAATAAGGAATTCAATACTGCTTTTCAATGGGGAATTTTGTCGGAATAACATTTCGAAGGCTAGTTCCATATGCTTTGGTATTATATTCGGGGTTGTTTTTTGTTCGGAAGAGGCTATTGAAGTCCTTTCCACCTGATTGTGTTTGCGGAACCATTTCAATTTGCGTAACAAAAATATTTACTTTTCCGAAGCGAGAGTTACATCAAACATTTTGGTCGATGATACCATATGTTCGTGTGAAAGGACATTTCTCGTGCAATAATTTGATTGAAATGATGGACTTAAACCGAAAAACAACACACACACACATACGGAATCGGTTGAAATAAATGCATCGAAACCAACGGCCCTATTTTCATCACTATTTTGTTTGTGGTTTTCTTGTTGATGTGAAATTTTCGATTCTTTTCCAAACTCACTTCGGCCCGGAGCTTGTGTTCGTGTTCAGATTCGACCTCAAACTGATTGCTGAGTCCGAGTGGTGAACTGTCCGAAAATTTAATCATCGGCCCTGAAAACTTGCAACGACCACAACATTTTGTTCACATAAGCAATAAAACTTTTTCAGTCAACTGAATTGCAACTACTCAAAGCACATAACTAGCAACTCGAAATTACGACGAACCCTAATCAAATGAAACCAAACAGGAAACGATATTTTTTTGCGAGAAAAACAAAACTAAATCTAGAAATTATATAAGTGGTTGGCTAAAAATTTAAGTCGATGTGCACAATTTTCATATTTTTTTTCGTTTCGGATGAGAAAATCATACTTTCAGCTCATGAACACAAGAAATTTCATTGAAAAAAACTGAAACCATTCCGATACTTATTCAACACATAAAATATATATATTGACACACAAAATTTACCCAGTTATTATACGGCTAATAAAAAATCGAATAAATGTGTAAGGCATTCGATATGACTAGTCACATCGATCCATCACACATATATAAACACACACACCACACTCACAGCAAACACGCTAAATATGATTATGAGACAAAAATCGAATTTTATGATATGTAAATTGTGAACATAACAACAACAAACAAATGAAACAACTGGCCAAGTCTTTTGGTTGAATATTAAAATGAAACTATGGAGAAACAAAAATGTACACGGTGTTTTTATTTGATATTATCAGTTTTTGTGTTTTGAAAAGGTCAACATTGGAAATAAAAACGAACATGTAACGAGCAAATGTAAGTATATAATTGCGTTTCGAATGCTAATACAAAACCGAATCGAGACATCTGATCAAATGTTATTATTCTGCTTCACTTACGTTCGGGCTCTCTTTTTTTCTCGCATGATTCAATTGCACATACACATGGCATCCGATACTTTTGCTCTCTCTATTCATTTAATCGATTGATTCAATTAACTGATTAAGCCATTTTTATTTTACCTCACTAATTAGACCAATTTTTCGAGAATTACAACCGTTATTAATTGTCATTCGAACCAATACGTGGCTCAGACGAGATGCTTATCACACAAGCTACAATTTGATGTCACAAGCTACATTAATAAAATTTGATGTCAAAATGACCTTTTGATGGACTTCGATGGAATTAAGAAAATTGATTTTTGCAAGACCAAAAAAATTGGCTGAAATTCAATTTGCCATTGGAAATTGAAATGCAATGAATGCAATAAATTTGAAATAATGAGGTCAAACTTAATTGATCAATCTATATTAAAATGTTAAAATTATTATTTCAAAGTGGAAAAGAACGTCGAAATTCACTTTTCAATGAAAAAGTTTACCAATTTCCGAGCATCAAACAGGAAACTCAAACTCAACTTCAAACTTTCCCTTCAGTTCTTCTTTACTTCAATTTTTTTATCATTTCCGTATTTCCCTAATGTGTGTCACAAATGAAATGACAAATATTCCAACATTCAACAACTTCTTTTCAATCAACCAGGATGGCGAGTGGCAGCGAACGCGTTTTTAATTACTGTAAACACGGTAGTGTAAACTGCGTTGGTAAAGTGTTTTTCCATTATCGTTCATTAATAATAAATGATTGTTGATGACATACACATAATTGCGCCTACAGCCACTACGCTTGTTTTTTCCTCGTTGTATTATTAATGTTAATTTTTTTATCGGGGGAGGTACCATTTAGAGGCTTGCCTCAGTCAATTTTTTGTCATGCTGTTTATCTGTAATCATAATAAAGAGATTCGCGCGTACTGTGCAAATTACTTAATGCTCAACATCAATGGATGAGCACGGCGAATATTTTCGGTTTGTCATCGTCTCCATTGTTATATCATTCAGCGATTAGATATCTGTTCAAACAAACAATTAATAGATAATTCGGATGCACAGGCACACAAATCCAAACAAATGGCACTTTATTGTCTCCCATTTGGTTGAATAATTAAAATAAAATCGTCGTGAATGCGCTCGCGAATCGTTACACAAATGTGTCTTTGAACATTCTCGACAATATTCACACCGCAACAAGCAAAACCAATTAATTATTCATATCGTGTTAATGATTGGGCCCGTTTTGAAAACCGTAATTCATGACCAAAAATGTAACATGGTGTAATCATACTTTTTTGTGCTTAACACGAATAGGATATAGACAGTGTTTATCAACTTTGGTCGAACAATGACATTGTCATTTATGTGAACCACAATTTACGAGTGGGAAGAATGATTTTTTTTCTTCTCATTAAATATTTACAACAATAAAAAAAAACAAAGACATTAATCAATTTTTTTGAAGAATAGATTAAAATGCGATAATGATGCTTGGAGAAGAAAAAGTAATAAATGATAAAAAATATTGAATTATTAAACTTTTGAAGAAGTTGATTGCACCAGATATCAAATATTCATTCGAAAGAAACTGTTCCTCTTTTCACTTGATGAGAGTAAACGTGCGTTATCTTGAAATAATCAAAAATACATTATGGCATCAGTTTGGACGTTTACCTTTTTTTTTATTGTTGAAATGAAAAGGTTCAGCTTTCGTCATTCTTGGGTAAGTGATTGAGTCACGAATCAAAAGCTCACGGCAATAATCGCTGTGCATTTATTTAAATGAGAAAGCCGAATTTTCCATCGATTACGATCCCGTTTGAGTCAAATGCGCTTTATGATTGATAGGCGACGATTGATGGAAAATAACCATAGACAAATGTTAATACATTTTGTTATAGTCAGCAAAATTGGGTAATTTAAATCAATTGATTCGGCTCATTCAAGTTGAATGAACGTCGGACGATTTTTATTTTTAGACACCGGCAGCAAGCAAGGGAGTTTCAACCTATTGGGGGCGATGATTCCAAATGAACGGTTTCATGAATATATTACTCAATGGCTTTTAGACTCTTGACATTGGGTTGAAAAACCGGTGACAGTTTGTTTTTTATTATGAACGACCAGAATTTGCACGAATCTGGTTAAAACGAAAAAAAAAAAGATTTTGCTGAAGTCAAGATTTTTTTTTTTTAAATAAAGAAATTGTTTTATTTATCAAAATAGTCCTTTAGCATGAATACAAGTCGCAATTTGGAAACTTTCACTAAATTATAAAATTGCTGTAAAATTGTCCAAAAGTTTTCAGGAGTTCTCAGTATGCAAAGCGATGCAAAGTAGTTTAAAATTCGATTAATTCGAGATTCAAAATGAAAAATCTCGATTTCCAAGAGATAAACTTAGGTCCGTGATATCAATCTTCTCTTCCAATTCAATAGATGGCGTTGTTTAAATCAAAAATCAATGTTTTTTTCATATATTCAATCTTATTTTTCAAATATCTCTTCGGAATTAAATCAATTCCGGTACAATATCTTGAGCTTCGCTCAATTTCAAATGTTCTTTAACCAAAATACATTTTGTAAAATTGCAATCGCATGGAAATGGATGTTCAACATCGCTTGGATCTAAAATGGTAAGTTCAAGTTTGCATTGTCGTTGATTTTCGTCATTTCTTCGCATGGCCAAATTAAAAGCGACCGGTTCGTGTTGTTCGATATTCTCTTGATGTTGATCTGGTAGTAAGATGACGGTTTGTTTCCAATGGGTTGATTCGGCAGTCGGTGCTGTCGACAATGTAACTGTATCGCCCTCATCATTGGTTGGAAATGACACATCAAACCATAGACAAATGCCTTGATACTGTCCGGGCTTTTGTGCAACGACTACTTCGTTGAATACAAATTCATTTAAATTCTCTAAAGACACTTCATTCAAATCGAACCACGCCATGACTGTGCCTTCGTGTAATAGATCTTTGGCCGGCACCACCTGGAATATTATTACCTATTATTCAATAACTTGAATTATTAATACTTCAATTATAATTGTTTACCATAATTTCCGGTTTAAATGTTTTTTGTGCTCGTAATGCGGCACCGAAAGCCGTCATTTGAACACCATCATGCGAATTCCAGGCGTCAAACAAACTGGGCAACGCACATGGAGCTACGTAAATTGATGCATTTTGCGGAAACATCGAACCGGATGGTTTTAAAAATCTATCACGCGCAAACAACACCGAATCCAACATGCCTTCGTGCAACAAATAAAATCCCATCCACTCCGACACAATTATATCGATCTGCTGTTGGTCGTCACCGTTCAATTTAAAATCCTCAACTTTCGTTTGATGCACTTCAATTATACGGTCGAATCCATTCTCTTTGACTACATCACGGGCCAGATTAGCTATTTTTGAGGCTTCAATCGCATAGACCTTGGCAGCACCGGCTTGAGCACAGAACTAAATAAACAAAAGCGATTACAACCACAAAATGTTTGGTAAATGTAACGATTACATACACATGATAGGATTCCAGTACCAGCACCGACATCAAGTACAGTTTTGCCAGCGAATAACGATGAATTTGATAGGATTGCCTCACGGTATGCCGCTTGACGGGGACGATCGGTTAACATCAATTTGTGAATCTAGTTTTTAAACGTTTTTGTTTTAGATTAGTTTTTTATTAAGCGGCAAATGAAATTATTCTTCAGTATTCCAGATATACAATGAACTATTTTCAATGAAACTCACGTCCAAATCCTCATAGCTGCTGAAGTATTCTTCAAGTTTTGTTTGCTTTTCACTCGGCTCACCGTCGGTCATGATTTTTTTTCTTCAGTGAAATATTGTGTTTTGTTAAAAATTTAATTGAGAATTCTCAACAGTGAACCTTGTAAACAAATGTTGACAGATAGAAAAAACGTGCTTTCCAATTGACTAGAGTTAAGGACTGATTCTTCATATTTTCACCGGGTGGCGTTGTCATCACTGCCGCTGGAAGAATGTATTCCCATTGAGAATGACATTTATTTGTTTATATTATGGAAAAAGCAGCTTTATGGTTTTGGAAATCAACAGATGTTTATCATATGTATTTGCATAGAGCTACACATAGAGCTATACATTGATTGATTTTTTTTTCACTGATACAAGATATAAGAACTGAGAAGAGTACTTTTATTTCAAACGATAAAATTTTATTGAAAAAAATAATTTACAAATGCATTCAATTTTTCGAAATATACATTTTAGCGTAAAGCGTGATTGATTAAAACCAAATTACTCATCATCGGGAACTTTCCAGCCGTGTTGTTTACCCTTTTCATATAAATTAGTAATTTCACGCACGAGATTACCTTCTTCAACGATTTTCAAATAATGCTTATAGAGTTGAAGCGCTGTACGTGCATCTTCAACCGAATCATGCGTTTCCGACTGAATTTTTTCGTTCAAAAAATACCATGCAAGAAATTTTAACGATACCATTCTCATATGTGGCAGGTGAAACAATGCCACTGTGTCCACAACTTGATCTGGATTCACCACCATGTTTATAACACTGTAAAAATTCAATTAGTTAGATTAGAATTAGTGATTTCAATAGATATTTGGATTTTTTTTGAAACAATTTTAAAAAATAAAATCTTTCACAGCAAAGAAACAAAAAATTACCGAAAATCATTTTTTAGCCCGTGTCCCACAAAAATCACACCAATATCAGCCAAATAACGTAGTTTTTGATAAGAACTTTTCAGTGTTGTTAAATGTTTATTACTAAAATTAGCGTCTAAGTCTCCTGGTTTAATGCCTGAAAATTTTGTGAGATAGTCAACAACCTGCTCTTGTGTTGAGATATAGTCATCCATAAACGGAACTCCCTCATCTGTGCCACTCCTGAAAATAAAGTCAAATCAGGGAAATGAGATTATAATTTCAAAGAAAAAAAAAAAAAACTAAAAAAGCGGATACAAACCCTCGAATGCAAGTGATACGAGCCACGCTCATATGACTTGGTTTAATGGTGGCCGTTTTTCCATCGGGTCGAATTTCGTTCTCTTCTGGATTTAAAGTAACAAATTCAGCGTCCATTGCAACAAGATCACCTTTCTTCGGCATTTCATCACTAGTCAATGGCTTGAATGTGAGATCATACTGCTTGTTTTTGCAGATTTGCTGACTGAAAATATCATGGATAAATGGATTGCTTGACATTGCTTCGATAGTTATGTCTTTTCCATTATGAGCAATAGCCTCTGTTGACGAGTAAAATAGAACACATGGAACTTTCCAGTCGAGTGTAAACCAAACGGCTTCCTGTTCTGAGACGGGTGCAATACTGAAAAGCAAAAGACTAATTACGTTCTGACCTTTAAAATAAAAAAAAAATCCTTTCTTCTTACCTGAAATCATTAAAAATATACCATTGTCCGCCCATATTTGGGTCACATTCGGCAAGTTTCGCCTTGTGATACTGTTCGCCAACTGAAACTAGTGCCACCAAATTTTTTTGATTGCCATTGATAACCTGACACACGACTGCTGTTAGTTTATAAGTTTTTCTCTCCGTTTGTTTGCTTTCTTCGGTTTCTTCTGTAGTTTTGTCTTCGTCGTCTGTTATCGTCAATTCCGATACATCCGGATCATCTGACGTCTTATCCGTTGATTTAATACTAGTTATGGATTCATCTTCTTGATCGTTGGTCGACTGAATTTTAAGTTCATTAGCTTCATCGATTTCCATTACAAAGCTATGTGGAAACCAAATATTCGATCGATGATTTCCATTCGAATTTGTCGTATTCGCGGTGGTGTTGACTGATGCTGGTGATTTTCGATCTGAATGAGCAAAATGGCAATCAACCCTCGAACAATTGATGCCATATCGGCACGGTTTAATTGGTGTACTACTCGATGGGGCCGATGTCGTTTCGGTTGACGTTGAACCATTTCCTGAATTTCGATTCAATTGACGCTTCAAAAAATTCATTTCTTTCTCATTTTTTAAGCCACAATTGATCGAGAGTATTTGCGGCAGTTCCGTTACACGAGCGTATTGATTTGTTGGCGTGAATTTTTTACACGTTTCACAAAATGCCGGCGTGGTTTTCTCAACGCTTAGCGAATTCCGAAGTACTTGACTGAAACTCATGTGTTCGATTTCGCGATTGTTTTGACCCAGCAAAAGATTGCAAACGAGAAGAATGTTGGTTTTGATTTTCTGCAATGGAATGGACATCGACAAATTAGAAAAAGAGAAATTTGATTAGTTGTTGAGATGTACCTCTTCGTTGCACTTCAAACAGCGATGAACACACGTCTGTTTTGTACCAAACAAACGACTAATATCAGTCTCTTCATCTCGTCCATCTTCGGTGGTTCCTTCGGGTTTTTCTTTGTTTTCTGTAAAATCATTCATAAGTTTATTTTTAATCTACAGAAAATACTACTTTTCCCTTTTTGAAATGTTTCAAAGGAAAAGTATTGTGTTTTAATTAAGCCATTTAAATATATAGAATTTAGATAGAGAGAGTGTAAGCAAAACGACTTTTTTCCAAATGAAAATTATAAATGCATGCGGTTTTTGAATGTAAGCGGTTAGATGTGTGGATGTTGTGTTTAACAAAATGATAAAAGGTGTGAGAGGCCAAAAAGAAAGTGGTGAATATGGAACAAGCAAAGGGTGAAGCAGAGAGTGTAATGTGTCGATTTTAAGCCAGACGGCTTTGCGATTACCCACCACCCGGATTATTTACATCGATATATTGAAACATTTCCACATTTTTCGCCGTTTTCGTTTTTGCATTAACGAATTCGGTCAAATGCAATGCCGGAAATTCAGATTCCACGTAAAAGAAGTCTATGCATGTGTTCGTGTTGTGCGCGATGCCACAAGAGAAAGAGAGAGGGAGAAATAGAGAAAAATGTAAATGTGATTACATGTTAAACCATCATGAAAATACAATTTTGTTGTTGTTGTTGGTGTGATGAAACAATTAAATGATCCAATCGAACCCATTGAGAAAATAAATAAATAATGTGTTATTAGAAATTAAATATATATATTGAATAGAGTACTATTCCAAGCTCTATCGTTGAAGAATGTGTTTGCCAATAGAAAACCCAACATTTTTTTTAAAAAAAAAGTCCCAATTTTCTTTATATAAACCAAATAAATCGTCGTTTACCTTGTGAACTAGTTGTATCTACTGATGGTTGCTTGTTTTTTCGAGCTTCGAGAATTTCATAATGCATTTGATGCAAAATGAAGCGATTCCAATTCTGTAATAAACAACAAGTTTTTTATCAGTTCAAGAGAAGAACAATTTTCAAAACAAAGTTTTTCAAAGCATTTTCTGCATCTTACCTGAATCAACTCAATGAAATCCACATTTGCGTTCATAATGCGATCGCTGAGAATGAGACCAAGTGCGGATGCTTCAGGAACAGTTCGGAATGATCGTAAAAAGTTGCTCGACTGGCACGGTGCATCTGAGGTGTCAAGCATATGAAATAAAAAGCCCAATTCACATGATAGACAGAACTCTTTCATACACGAATGCGATAGAAGTGTTTCACGCAACGGCGCTATGAAATACAGAATTTGAAGCATTGAATTGCAGTATGAATTTGGTAATGTTGCTTCTAGACCAGCGAAAATCGTCTGATTATACTGATCGAAATCAAACTCTTGTGTGCCCAATTTTGTGTATTTCACTTCGTTTCTACGATATCTGGAATGAGAAAACAATTTTAGTCACAATTAACGGAATTTTAGTTTGAAAATGGTCAGACATTCTATTCAGGCGTGCTCACCTTTTTGGAATGATTTTTATTGAATTTTCTGTGCCATTTTTACCGAATGAATTCGCTTGAGACGATGAATTTAAACCATTGGAATTGGTTTTATCTAAGAAGTATGGTACCTAGCATTGGATAAAAACGATTTTAAAAATTATTTTCTTATTTAGTATGTTTAAACCAAAAGTGACTCTACAGTAACAAAATGGTGATCTTACGGTTTTGAAAAAAATGCTCGACTTTTACCTGATTTCTCTTAGTTTTTCTTGGATTTGGAGCATATCCAATCGGTCCTTGCATTTTAATAGTGCCCAAAATTTCCGAATCAATTGGTTTTGGTGTACGATAGCGGTATGTGAGTAGCTCTGCTGGAAAGTCACTGAGCCATTTTTCACCAGTCACCAAATGCGGCAATGGAATCGAAGACAATGGAAATGTTGTGTCCGTTATTGGTACTGACGGCAGTGTCGGAATCGGATCCGCAAATTCGGTTTCACGTGAATATGAATTGAATTGCGGACTCTGCGTTGCAATGGATGAGATTAAATTTATGTGACCCGATTGATCACCAAAGGCCATCGCTTGATTCGATGAAGAAATATCAAACGATAAACATTGTGATCCGTTGGTGTTTATCTGTGAAAAGAATGTGAAAAACTCATGAAAAAAATTATTCAACAATCAATTTGACAAATAAACTTACCTGATACATACAAACTCTTGGTTCGGTCAATTCAACGGTGTCGACAAGTTGAATTTGTCCCATGGCTGATATGACAGCGAGTCGATTGTATTCTTGTGGTAAAAATCGCAGTAAATACGGTTCGATAAGTACTTGAATCGGTGCAATCGGACTTCGAAGCATTCGCAGATCGTGTACCGTTAGAATTCGATCACATTCTAATGTTCCTTGTCGTTCAACGAAACCACACGAAATCAAATAATTACCCTGAACATCAAAGTCAGATAAACTGCCTTCATGTGTGGTTACAGTGTGTTCTATGCTCAATGAATTGGGATCTCGGAGTGCTACTGTTCCATATGCATCGCCAACGCATAGAAATCGTGGATGAAGTCGAAACACAGCCGATCCATTGCCACCACAGTAAAGCTGAAATGAAACGATTAGAAACTTTCTTTACCGAAACTGTTGCGACAAGGCTTACCAATTTCGTTTCGGTAGCAGTGGCCAGGTCAAAGTCAATGATAACCTCCTGATGACCACCCATAATTAATCGATTCGGTGCCATTTGTATCATGCACACCATATCTGTCATATTCCGGGATCGATGCGTGAATTTTGGTATGCCTCGACGGATTTGATGTCGCAGTGATGTCGACGTTAATGCCAGTATACCACTGTCAATTGTAATGATTTCACGAACCATTTCACTTGCATGCACTTGGAATGACGTGTATTTCTGCAAAGCTCCGCTGTAGTATGAAGTTACATGACCCTAGATTGAAATCATATTTTGATTAATTAAAAACCATTCCGTGATAACGATTAATTGAGCAAAATTTTTGGATCATCATAAATAGTGAAGTTCCTTCAAAATTTATGATTTGGGAAAGAAAATTTCCCTTGAGCCTTACCCCTTCATTCCCCATCCATATGAGTTCTTCGTGTGTATCAAATCGGATGGTCGAAACTCCAAAATTTTCACCTCCATCGGCCAAAATGGTACCCATTTCAAGGTACTCGGGAACATTTTGACCGATATTAAATGTCGTAAAATTGGACGCTGGATAGGCATCGTTACCATTTTGTGTGTCGTACACTGAAATTCAATATTTGTTTAAATAACCATTTTTTTATTGTTTCAAATAAAAATGTTATCAAAAACATTTTCTTTTTCAAAAAACATTTTCAAGGTCTGTCAAACAAAAATTTACTTGTCAATGTGATGATATCGTCGGGTCGACCACTACCTTCATTTCCACAATATACATAATCCATCGTATACTTGGCGACTGTGTAATTGCTTTGTTAGAAACGTAATTAATTTTTCACTTGACTTTTCGATTTTGTAAATATTTTGAACACATTTTCTCACATGCAATATTCCGAATGCGTTTACTTAACACAAATTTATTCAACAAAAAATTAAAAAAAAATCTGGCAAATATTTAAAAAAAATTAAATAACTAAAATGGGTTGTTTTTGTTGATTTTGTGTCTCTACTTTTTTTACAGCTGTCGTAACAAATTTATATTTTTGACACATCAATCAACTGCATACAGGCGGTTTGTATATGTGTGTGCTTGGAAAGCATGAAGTTGCCTCCATTTTCAATTGAATGGAAAATGTCAAGTTGGCAGCACTTCCAATTGACAACTGGAAAGTAAGACCATCACACTTCAATACAAACGAGATTTTCGACATGAATCGCCAGATTTTTCTCCATTGAACTGATTTTATTATTTAAATTAAATTTAAAGATTTGAAGATGAACATTTTTTTATTTTTAATTCCTTAAAAAATCACTCATTGAAGAAGAAAAGTTGATAAAACGAACCGAAATACTTCCAATGAATGTCAATCGGAATATTCGGCGTACGCCAGAACAATATTGTGATATCAGAATAGTTGCAATATTTTTGAAACCATAAATTTGATAAGATCTCCGAAAAAAGAATAAAAATTCTGATAACATCAGCTTAGATAAAAACAGTAAAAGCCATAAAAAATGACACAAATATTTTTCATTTGTAAATCGACATAAAACAATTGAATAAATAGCTTTTTATTTGTTGTTTTTTTTTTAATTGAGTACAATTGTCGTTCTTTTTTTTTGTAGATCATTTCGAAAATATGACGCACATTCACGCAGGCGTGGTTATTATTTTTATATAATATTTCGCAAATAAGCTGCCAACGGCTGCCAATAACTACGTCCACAATCTATTATGACGTTGACATAGCATATTAACCGATTTTTTTCTTTAAAAAATAAAATACATTCGATCAAAAAATAAACGAATCCTTTGGGCCATCATATATGAGTATACTCATGATGTCATCGGATTCGCTTTTGTAATATATATAAATAGACACTTATGTAATATCCGTTTAAAAAAACATTCACACACAATCAACGCGTTAACACTGAAGCAGAAATTAAATAAAAAAAAGTCGCTTTGGTTCACATCAATTGGGGGTAACGATATCACTGCATTTATATCTCTCTTTCTCTCTTTCTTAAGCGGTTGAATTGAGCAGAGATTTATTCGATTCGATTTTGCGTCGTAGCATTCTTAAGCGTTGTGCACAATAAACTCGTAAAAATAATGCCAAAAATACAATGATTATTCCAATGATTCCAACGGCCGAAATGTAGTGCTCATAAACGATGCAGGATAGGAGAATTGACATGGCCTAAGAAACGAAATATTTTAATGAATTTGAAAAAAAAAGTGGCAAAAAACCCTTTAGAAATCAAATCAGTAAAAAATGCAGACTTACCTGTCTCAATGTCATTATGATTGTAAAAATCACCGGTCCAAATTGTGCGATAGTATGAAATATAAACAATTGTCCGATGGCTGAACTAATCGACAGTACTATACAGTCTACTACAAACTTTGTGTGCTAAAAAATAAAACAAAAACTCAAGTTATATTAACAAAATAGGGAGAAAATCTTCCTAATGGAAGCTATGAGGAATTTTTTTTTTAATTTGAACAAAAACCCTGAAAAATGATGTCCAAAACTTACCGTCGTTGCGAACAAAAATGATTCCATGAAACCCCCTTGAATGGCAAGCGAACACCCTGTAAATAATGCGCTAAAAAGATTAACACTGCACATCATTTGAATGGATGTCATGCCGTATGTCTTGAACAGATCACTTTGCCAATTCGATGTGAAACTGTCGAATACAAGGTACATGGTAAGTAGTAAAATCCCTGCCATCGATGTAATTGATGATACTGCCGAATGATCGGATTTACTGCCGAGTAAAAATGCTAACATTCCGATTGAAATCAATGCAGCCGTTAAATATTCATAAAATTCGAATTTCGTTCGCGATACAATTTTACCCATTAACATCACAGGAATGATTTTACACGATTTGGCCAGTACTTGGGTGGGAAAATTAACAAATTTCAATGCTTCATATTGAAACCATGCCGACATAATATTTGAAAAACTGGCAAATGAATATTTAAATAGTGGCGCCGAACCCGTAATTTGGCCAATTGTTGCAATTGCCGACGATGGACTGTTTTGTTGCATTTTATTTTTCACACATAAATAAACTAAACCGATGAAAAATGACAGCATACGATTGGTAAACACCAAAAATTGTGAATCATGAAAATGTTCCTCAAATCGATGACCTTCGGGCGTTACCGTTATGTATGGCTGTGTGATTATTTTCTCTTGTAATAGTCCCCATACTAAGTACGATGTCATTAAACCGAAAAAGCAAAATAAAATCTGAGCGACACCACCTTTGGCCGTTGTTGAACCAGTTGTTGTCTTTGGATTTGCATTGTGTAGCGGTATGTCTATTGAACGTATGCTCGAAAAACAGGCTCGCACCATTAATGGGATGAAACTGATTTTATTTGCTGCAGAGATGAAACGAAAGAAAAGATTCATGAAAAACCGATGAAAATGTTGCGAGTTTAATTCAATGCCAACACATGGACACTTACCGCATCGTTCCAAATACTTTGTTCTCTTGGTGTATTGATAAATCAAAATGCCGGGCACAAATATACAACTGTATCCAAAGCAATTGACAATAAATTTTAATGCCCATCGATATTCGATCGGATGTAATTCAATTAACTGTGTTAAACTGAGATCGTTTTGTGCTCCTGGTGTGTTGCCATCGGTCAAATACAATTTTAGAATGTTTGATAGAATGTAAATTGAAACTAATGTTTTCAAAATGATGAAACTGTAAATCACCAAAATTCATTTATTGCAAAAAAATGTGAAGAAAAACGACAAAAAACACCATAAAAAGATATTAAAAATAACACGTACATGATAATAAAATCTGGAATTGGATTGGCCATGATGGTGTTGGCGACACGTCTCTGCAAATTTTCTGCAATAATTTGATAAGAATACAGTTAATAAATATTCTGAGTGTTTTACTCTCGTTAAATCACCTACTTTTAATAAATGTTCAGTTCGTTCTGTGTTTCATGTTTACTTAGTAAGTCTGTTTCCGTACGATTTATGTCCAATAAAACTGATTTGTTGTCATTTATTTTATAGATTTGTCTTTGACAGCTGGAAGTTTGACAATTGACTGGAAATCTCGAACTGGAATGTTGTTGACAGTTGCAGTGGTGGCGCTAATTGTATTGTTGAAACATGCGCTTCTTGTCATTAATATATACACAACAACAGCTCAAACAAACGCGACCAATTTGTTAGTGTTCTCAAACAAATTTTGAAACGAGCAAAAAAAACCAACAACAAAACATTTATAATGGTGACCAAATGTAATTGGCGTTTGGTGGCAGTATCCAAAGCGGCAAAAAATCTAAGAAAAGTTTCGTTCGTATTGAAAGCTGGTGCGAATCTTGTTGGTAAAAAGAAGGACAGTCACATAAAAATACCGTCCATATTGTGTAGCCGAGAACATTGCAGTATTTTTTTAGATGGCGACAGAGTCACTCTCACAGATACGGTACATTTTTTTCTCTCTCACATTTATCTCTTTTTGGGTAAAGTTCATTTTCTTCAACATTTTATTGCTTTTATTTGCAGTCAAGAAATGGCACCTACATCACCTTTTCACATGGAACACAGCACTTTACAAACACATCCACCGAACCGCTTGAACAAAATGATATGATTAGTTTTGGTTTTAATACGGCCTCCGTATATGATATAAATGATAAACATGCATTTATGTATCGATTGGTCAAGGAAAAAATCGAAACGATTAATATCGATGACAGCGATGATGATGATGATGATGGTACGCCGCCACCACCGGTGGTCAAAGATAAATTCATCGCTATTGACAATAGAGTGATTGACATTGATTCAGATTCCGATTCAAATTATTCGGGTGACGAATGCTTGAAAAATATTGAAGAATTTAAAGACGAGGAAAGTGTCGGCTCAAGTGTTCAATTTGAGGACGATTCAAGTATTGATAATTACAGTGATTCGATCGAAAGTTCGGTTGGAAGTGGCGATGAAAATTTTGTGGTGACAAAAACCATTCTAAAATGCACCACACCAACCGAAACCATTTCGTTGGATGAAGATGACGAGGATGATGTACCTGATGTTCAAGCACAAAATCAAGATGATGCACAAATATCGGAAATAAGCGATAAAGCATCGAATGGCACAATTGAAAAACCATCCACAGCGATGGAAACTGATGAACCGACGAAAAGTACCGAAACGCAGGCACCGGAATTAAAGTTAACGGAAATTGATACAACATCCAAAGAAGATGATCAACAGTCTGAAGACAGTGAAAATTCGATGCCAGGTTGCAGCTCGAAGACAAGAAGCGAAGAAAATAACGCCAGAAAACCATCGACGGAAAGTGATAATCATGTGGAAACAAGCCCAAGCAAAGAGGAAGAAAAAGAATTAGAGAGTCGTTTGGAGGGTCTTAAACGTAAATTGGCCGAAAAACCACAAAAGAAAATTTCCCTAATAAAAGCACAACCGTTACGAAAACGTCGTTCAACAATCACTGAAGAAGAGTATTTAAAGCGTAAGAAGATCAAACAACAAATCGATCCCGAACAAAGCAGACAAATGAAACGTGAAAGATTGGCCATTATCGGCGAACAACAAAAGGCAAGACGTATAGCAGCTGCCGAAAGTGTCGGCGAATCAAATCGACCAAAAAATATGCCGAAAGTTAAAATAAATGCGGTTAGCCGTGGCGAACAACTTTGCACCGATATGCTGGCACTTGGCAACACAAGTACATAAGAAAATTGAAGATTCTAGCTTATGAATTTCGATTTAAGTAAACATTTAAACTCCGTATTACTTTTGTTAAATGTAACCATTTACAAGTACCATATAGAAAATGAACAGTAGAAGTTTACTGTAGTCGTAATAGTCTCTTGTTAGAGCTTCAGGTTAACACGTCATTTCCATTTCATTTTGAATTATTTTTTTTAACTAGCTGAAAATAATAAAAATGTTTTACTAATTTGGAAATGGGAATTTTTGGTGTTGTTTCATTTTTAAGTTTTTCTTTTTTACAGACTTTTGACAGAACGGACATTTTTTTTTATTAGGCAAAGGTAAGCAAAACAATGAGCATTATAAATGCTGGTACGAAAAAAACTCAAAACTTGTTCGATCAAAAGTCCACAACAATTTTGTTTGCAAATCACAACACACAAGATTTTAACTGTAATATTATTCTCTATTCATTCGTTCTTCGGTTTTACATTGTTTCAATTATGCCAATGTGATGCTGTCAATGTCATATATGTACAGTCACAATTGTGTCAGTGTGTTAGTTGTTTTGTTGTCACGACCAGATTCAACAGAACATAAACGTGTTTGACATTTGTTTATTTTGAGAGTTGGATTCACGGACGAGCACACCGCTTGTTGTTATCTCGTCGTCGATTGAAATATTTTATTGTGTGTTTAAAAAAATTGTATTAAAACTGCGGATGAAAAAGTACAGTTTTTTATTAATTGTGGTGGTTGAGTTTTAACTAAAGTGTAAAATAAAAACAAAATGCAACGTAAGTGTTTGAGCAAAATACGCGAATTTTTTATGTAAAAACAGAATTATAAAAAACAGCTATGTAATTTTGAAAAAAAAATTGTATCAAGCACATTAATTGAACTGTTGTAAAAGAATTGCATCTTGTTCTATGTCAATTGTTCGTGTAATTCATGTATTGATTGTATTGTATGTGTTGTTGAATGCGGCACGATAAGACGTAGCGCAAACCTACACTGCTTAGGCAAAACGCGCGAAACATGAAAAAAAATCATTTTGTATTTTTTTTTCGTGTCATATTTATTTGTATTACTTTCGACTTGGCTATTTATGCTGGCAAAATTTCGAGCGAAATCGGTGTCTTATTACAATTCATTGGTTTTTTTATGACCATTTTTTCTAAATTACATGCACTTTTTTTACCACTTTTAATAATAATATCTGAGAGGAATGGCAAATGGAGAAAAAAGAAGAACACATGATGATTGGTGAAACATAGAGAAAGAAACAACAACAATCAGAGAAACGAAAGATAGAGCATTTTGTGATGAATAGAATTCTTAGAAATCGTTTGGCTCTTTCGTAATACATTTTAAAGTTTTTATTTACATTCTTCGCAAAGGACAGACTAATGAACACATATTTCAAGTTTGTTGTTGTTTTAGGTTCTAACTTTTTATCAACATGTTTATGAGTCTATATTACAGTGTGTATTGATAAAAAGAAACATTTCTCGGACTTTCTATGCCCAATTCTCTCACCGATAAGTGTTCAAAGGAGATATGGAAGTTTTTTCGATTAATGATTTTCAGACAATATATTTGAATTTTGTCATCTGGATATTTCAGCTCATCAGTAATTGTTATTGTTTTCACTCCACATCATCGCCTAACGTCATCCAGATGAGCTGAAATATCCAGATGACAAAATCCAAATATATTGCCTGATGATTTTTGAGCCCTTTTAAAATTCATTGTAAAATGTGTATTTTTGGCACCAGAAAACCGAATCGAACGTTTTTTCAGACAGAATTTTGTATGGAAGCAATGCCTGTATGACGGAAAACGTTTCAAAACATATCCATTCAGTTTTCACGGTGATAAACTTACTGCAAAAATTCATTTCGTGAAGAATGCCGATCACTTTCGAATCAACAAAATGAATGAAGTTTTTTTTATTCATTTCTTTGTTTGTTTCACTCTATTTGACACTCTGTATGGTAGTTTTGGTATAAAAATCAAGTGTCAATTTAATCTGAACTATAAATCGTGACCAAAAATAAATTTTCAAAAATGTTTCCAATTTTCCAGATATAAAGCGGGAGCCAGTGGTTGAGAGGCCAAAATTGTCTCTGATTGCTGTAAGCGAAGCAGCAAGAAAATTTAAAAATATCTTCGTGCTAGAACCAAATCGAAATTATACGGTGGGTCGAGAGAAAACCAGTGATATTTATTTGGGCTCGCCCCTATGTAGCAAAAGTCATTGCATATTACAAGTGGGCGAGGAAGAGGTGATTGTTAAAGATCAGGTACGAACCTCAACGTTTAAATGCGATATTTTTTTTTTAAATTATTCTTCTTGTTCAAATTCAGAGTTTGTATGGTACTCGTGTGAATTTTGTGAATTATAAAGACAGTCGATGCATTTTAACCGAGGGTGATTTGATTGGATTCGGTTGTGCAACAAATACCAAGCATCTGAAGGATAAAAACGATCATAAATATTATGTGTATCGTTTTACAATTGGAAGCGGCCTAAACTCATCGGAAACGATTGAATTATTGTCGGACGACGATGATGATGATGCTGTGAGAAATAGAGGTATCAGCGGTTTTTGTGTGGAAGATGCTGTTGAAACGGACGATGAAGATTGCCCGTCGGCAGATGAAATGGATGTTAAACCAGACATTCACAGTTTAATGCGAACGGTGCATCTTGGTGTCGAAATAAAACAAGAAATCGATTATAATTGTTATAAATACGATACGGGAAGTCAAAGTGAACCGATTATCGTGAATGATATACCGTATGCTGTCGATGATGAAGATAAATTCAATGAAGATATTTTGATATGTGAACCACCACGTAAACGAATTCGACCAACAGATGTGAACGAATTCACCAGCCTTCTGGCTAGTGAAACCGAAACAGAACTCGAATCCGAATCAAAAGATGAAGAAAATGACACAATAAATGAATCTGGTTCAGAACAAATTTTTGCACCCGAATACCAAATGAGCGATACAACACGCAAAGAAAAATGTAAAATTGTTGTACGATCACGTGGTCAACAGCTTGCAACTGATATGCTTATGTCCGAAAAATTATTGATGAAAAATATAAATGAAGCAAGTGCACCGGTGCAAGGGACGGCTGGTGCAAAGACACCAGCTGGTCCATCCACATCGACATTCATTCTAGATTCAACCTATTTACCCGAACCGGAATTTAGCAAAATTTCGATTCAAGATTTGAACAATCAATTCATTTCGGAAATTACAAAATGGAACTATGCATGGATTCGAGACAAGAACCCAAATCCACTGCAATATCAAATGCAAGTGAAACCACTTGGCGTAAATTTTGCGAATTTGGCCGCGTTTCAAAGGTTTGTTTTGATTTTAAATTTTCCACTGGAAATTTGAGATTTTTTCAAAAATATTTTTTTTTTTGATTTTCTACAGGCAAATAAAAAACTTTCTACTCATGGAAATATATTCGATCGTGTACACTGAATTTCACCGAATTCACAAACGGAGCCAAAATACATTTACAAAATTGATGGATTACCAATATGACGAAAATTTGAAGCGTTACATTTATACATGCTTTGGTGAGTACTGTGGAGAGAAATCCAAACAAAAACCATTGATTTAAATGATTGAGTATGATTTTCAATCGAATTTTAGCTGAGACTAAAGACTGTCGAGTGGCTGAGATTCTCCCGGGTGATTATACTGTTGTGACAACCCACAAAGGACATTGTATGGCATTCGTTACGTACGCTCGCCGGGAGTCAAGTAAGTATAAGAAGAAAATTCACAACATCGTGAATTATATAGGCAACTGAAACCATTTTTCTAAATTCAAAATTTCCGATTCGTTCCAGATGGATGGCAATTCGAAATGCAAAGTGCCCATGTCATAGAAAAAGATAAAAAATTCAAACCGAAATGTCTTCAAGTCACCTTTGTAGCGAATGTTCAAGCAATGTTGGAATATTTTATCAGTTTGTTTGAACTCAGAAAATCATCACTCCTAGAGGTGTTTTTATGTCCAAGTAGTCAACATGTGGATCAATCTCAAACTGCCAATGACTTCAGTAAAGGAGACAAAGTAAATATCAAACTATCTTTGACGGCGTAAATAATCTAATTCAAAATAAAAATTCATTTCAGTTCACGGACATTTTGGAAAAAATCTATGAGAAATGTGCGATTTCATTGATTGGATGCCGCAAAATTTTGTTAGTCAATGGTGGTGCCGGAACGGGGAAAACAAAATTCATTTGCAGTCTACTTAAAAAGTTCAAAAATGAAAATTTTCAATACACAAAATCGATTTTAGTTTGTGGCATAAAGAATGTTCTCGTTGATCAAATGGCAGTGGAAGTTTTTCGGGATATAACCAGCATCGGTAATTTGTTAATTGATTTGGGTGTGTGTACTTGTGGTGAGCTTTTCCTTATATTTTCATAGCACGATTTGGAAAATTCTCAAACATGAGGAGTGATGTTCGCACAAAAATTGGCGTCGAAAAATTCAGCCCGAAATTGAAAGATGTGAATATTGTATTTACAACTGTAAGCAATGCCGTTGATTTGTTGCAGTGAGTATACATGACACGCTATTTCATTCTTTATTTCTTAAATTGATTTTTTTGAGCAGTGTCGATAGATCATTTGACGTGTGCATTGTGGATGATGCTTCACTTTGCTCAGAAGCCGAAATTTTGCCACTATTTCGGCTGAAATTGACCACACTGCTATTGGTCGGCGACGAAAAACTTCAGACCTCATCAACGATCAATGAAGTTAGTTTTACAGTATTACGCCTCATGGGCTCGCATTTTATTTTAACAATCATACATTATTTTCAGTGCTGTCGTGATAATGGATACTCTCGTTCGCTGTTCACTCGTGTCATTGCCAGTTACAAGCAATTGAATTCGGAACGAATTCTCTATCCAACGCTGTACGAACAACATCGAATGCTGCCCGAACTAAGTTTATGGCCAAACAAGTTTTTCTATCAAAACCAGATGAAGATGGGATCAATCGCACGTTGTGCGCGATCTCCATTCCACCCATACACCGTGTTCCAAGTCAATCAAATCGAAGATATTGAAATTGACTTTTTAAAACAACTTTTAGAATTTTGCTTGCAATATATCGAACCGAAGAGATGCTCTTATGGAATCATCTGTGGGCATCCGAGCTCGAAAGATGAAATCGAAGCTCAGATCAAGTGAGTGGTATTTTTAACATTTTTTTAAAATATATATCGTATCTAATCGGGGTTCTTTTTTAAAGAGAAAATCAGCGATTCAGTGGAATTGAAGTCAGTGGATATGATTCATTTCAAGGCCAACAAAAAGACATAATTATTATGGTGGCATTGAAGCCAACCAATGGATTTGAACTGTTTAGTACAAAGGAAACGTTAGGCATTGCTCTTACTAGAGCTAAAGAATCGCTTATCTTTTGCGGTAATTTCCAACATGTAACCACCGTTGTCGATTCAATGACGAGCATATGGACGTCATTACTTAGTGATGCCAAAACACGAAAACGCTTCTATGACCTCAACGGAATGTTTGATGAATCGCTGGTTAAGAACGTATTGAAGAATCGGTGAATCCGAAGAGGCCCACCTCTATATACTCATTTTCCAGCTTTTTTTACTAGTTATAACGGCCCACGACTTTTTTTTAATGAAAAGACAAATTAGCAGTAAAATAGTTTTAAAAATGTATTTTTTGATATCATTTACAAATTTACAAAAAAGTATGGAATCGGATTTCGATCAAAACGTGGCGAATTGTAATTCAATATTTTGCGACTTTTTTGCGAGAAAAATTCCATTTTTTGTATTTATAAAAAAATTTACATGAAAAATTTTTGCAAATTTTAATTGAAGTAAGAAATTATTTTACAACTTCAATAAACTTTGTCTGTTTGCAACTAGGGATCTGGACAAAAAAAACTCCCACAATTTTAAATTTAGTTGAAAATAACAAAGAAAGAAAAACTTTATTTAAAACACTGTATTTTAGCTTAAAGAGCAATGAATTTTCAAATAAAATATTAAAATGTTAAACTGATTGACGAATACAAATGGAAGACTTGTATCACATCAAATAATATTGATTTAAAATTTATTTGAATAACAAATTTATTTCGAACCATGAATTATAATTCGAAATTAGCTTTTTTTATTCTCAAATTCAATGAGGAGGTTGAAAAGGATTTGGAGGAAACATTGGAAGAGCTGAACGAACTGCATTCTGCATTTCCTGCAAAAATGAATTGAACGGGTTCGACGGGTTCAATGGGTTCAAGAACTCAATTAGGTCTGAAGCAGGATTTGCCGCATTTGCCGCATTTGCCCCATTTGTTGGTAAAGAAGGGCATGGCAATCCAGGTATACTTGAAAATGGATTTGAACCTGCCGCTGCTGGTGGTGTTTGACCACCTGGGAATGATGCTGGAAGTTGTGATGGTATTTGACCAGTTGGGCTGGGAAGTTGTGGTAGACATCTCACCATTAAGACCTTTTTGAATCAAAGAAAAAAAAGATATTTTTATTCGATTAAATAAATGAACTCAAGTCATGCTTTCAAAGGAAAACCCGGTCCAATAAACTGCCTTTTGAAAAACCTTCAGTTCTTCCAGATGAAAATATTAAAATACGATTAATTTCAATTTACCAGTTGACTGATTACAATCAAAGTAAAAATTATGTATTTCATCTTGATTCAGAGTTTTCACTTAATAGATCTTGATTGGATCGCTTTAACTCACTTTATGACTGGTCTTCTGCAAAGATGCCACTTATATAAAAATTACAAACTAGTGAAAAAAGTATATCCATTACCATTACAGTGGGGGTGAGACAAATATTCTTGTTGACCTAGGTGGATTTGGATGCAATTCTTTTTTATTCGAAAAATTCCAAGAAATTGTTTACGTCCAAATAAGGCGCAAATGAAAGTATTCCAAAGAAAATAATTTCAACGCATTATGTGCAAACAGAGTAAACTGTACATATGCACGGTTTTCTCTTGTTTTATTTATTTCGTGTATGCGTTAATGAATATTGGAATCACCTCTTATTTTTAAAATCGCAAAAAATATTTGTCTTTGGTGAATTTACGTCCAAAAAAGCGTCTATATGAGTATTTTTCGTGCTTGATGGTGCATTGACAGCGTCAATTTGACACACACTTCATGAAGCTTATTAGGCATATTTGAATACAGTTCAATTCGAGCTGTTTTTTTCTGCAAACATAGATATATTAAACGAAAAATATAATGAAAAAAATTAATGCCAGAATAAAATTACAACGAAACAAGAGAAAATGAGATATAAAAGTACGTTTATTTATTTACGTAGGTAAATAAAATTTACACGAATCGCAGATTATTGACAATGATATTTTTTTACAGAAATAAAAATCAACAGAGTACAACAATGTTTGTTGTTTTGTATTTTATTCGTTTTGAACATTATCTTTCTTCTCAATTTCTCGTTCTTCGGATCTAAAAAAATAAGTATTTAAATAAAATAATGACAATAAAAAATCCTATGCATATTTAAATTTAACTATTATTTAAAATTTGAAAAGCATTTTCTATCATTTGGAATTTAACGGAATTTAATAAAAGCTTTTTACGGCTTTTTAAAGCCAAACGGACGATGATTTTTAAAAGGAGTAATTGATAAAAGACCAATTTTATTCTCATTGATATTAATTTTATTTGCACCTAGAACCATAGCGGCGATCTTAACAGACAAAACTGTCATGAACTCTCTGATTGATCATCTCTATCATTCAGAACTGAAGCCCGTGGTATTGACAAAATTAACACCTCTGTAAAAAGTGAAATCAAAGAAATGTAATTGATACTGAGAATATTTCTTTTAATTTTAAACTTTTCAGAAATTGCAATAAAACCGAATACATCTTAATAAGCATTGATAAATCCAGATGGATAGAAGATAAATTTGTACATTTCAATTTTGTGACATTTATTAAAAATAGAGCGACTCTGCGTGAATTTAGACTTCAATTTTAGTATTTTAAATGAATAAATTCACAGCTCCAAAGTGAAACTGTACTCAATAAATGTGAAAAAATCGAAATTTGACTTTAGCCAGAGTTGTCAATGAACGAATTCGTTGCTACTGTTGTTCTTTCACTCATATATATTTCTCTTGGTCATGTTGATATTAATTTGTCAAAAATATTGTTCTATCACTGTTCGAATGGATACAAACACAAACGAACATTGTAAAAGATTCGTTTACAACTCTGACATCAGCTGAGATTAGATCCAGTTGAAACTTACTTTGAAGAATCTATAATATATGACAATTGCTTTTAAATGTTTGATTAAATGATTGAAATTCGAACAAACTTTTAACGAACTTCAAAAAAACTTTATTTTCTGAAAAAATATACTAAGATCAAATAGTTTTGGAAAAAGTAATAGAGTTGTAGTAAAGAAAGTTTAAATAATAATAATGTGATGGTAAATAATGGAAAATTTCATTTTTAAGTTTAAAGAGTTGAAGTTCCCAATTCAAAGTTGACCTTGACAAACTGATGCCATATATTGAATCGGAGTCATTGCCCACTGTAGGAAATCTATAAATGGATTCCCTGAAAGTCCAGCTTGAGCATTTCTTTGTTGTTGCGGTAATTGAGATGGCTGTTGTGGATTTGGAGGTTGTTGCGGTGGTTGCTGTTGTTGATTTGGAGGTTGTTGCGGTAATTGAGATGGCTGTTGCGTAAGTGGAGGTTGTTGCGGTGATTGAAATTGCTGTTGTGGATTGGGAGGTTGTTGCGGTGATTGAGGTTGCTGTTGTGGATTTGGAGGTTGTTGCGGTAATTGAGGTTGCTGTTGTGGTAATTGACTTTGCGAAGGTGAAGACCCTGAAGGAGGAAATGAAAATGGTGGTGGTTGAAGAAAAGATCCAAATGGACTTTGCGAAGGTGCTTGTGGTGCTTGTGATGTTGCTCCGGATTGACTTTGCGTTGGTGATGGCTGTTGCGTAAGTGGAGGCTGTTGCGATAATTGAGATTGCTGTTGTGGATTTGGCGATGCAAATGGATTCGGCCAAGATGTTTGTGACAGTGGAAAAAAAGATCCAGGTTGATTTTGCGCATGCGGAAAGCACCTCACTATTGACAGCTTTGAAATTATTGATAAAAAATTAATTGACTTTCACTTTTAGGCTTGAACGATTTAATCCCATATTGAAACAAAGAAAATTGTGAACTTTATTGATAAACTGTATTCTCGATCAAATTAAAAAAAATCCCGAGAATCAAATTAAAAAAAAATCAGAATAATTAACTCACCATCCGGCTAATCACAATAAAAGTAAAAATTGTGAACTTCATTTTTGCGTTTCAAGTATAAAACAATAGGTCGTATTTGGGTCACTGTCACTTAATGTATGACTATATTTCTGCGAAAAATGTGTCTATAAAATACATAAATTAACCTGCATCAGAAGCATTGACGTGGCGTGAAACATGGGCTGACTGCATGGTGCAATTTAAAAAAAAAATAATTTGTTCACCGCAAAACTCGGAAAAATTATTTATAAGATTCAAATAGAAACAAGACGCCGCAAGACGCAAATTGAATTCAAGAGAATACGTTTTCAGACCAATTGTGCATACATCTGTCATTAAACATACATTTTGTTTATTCTTAATGCATTTGCAGAGTTAACGTATATTGAACGTATTTTTTCCATCTTTACATTTTAATGGTAGCTATATTTATAGCAACTAATGGAAAAAGACAACGTAGTTTTACGGTTCGACACGCCACTTGTAATACGTCTAATTAACATACCGAACTTTCAGTACGCATCTATGTTTATGACAACCAACGACAATGGTCTATTGAATCTTATTAATTTTTGTTGCTAAAATAATTTTAAACAACTTTACATGCATGATAATAATATATAATTTTCTCTAGCTCAATCAATGTTACCGAATGCTGATTCTGTTTTTGAATGTGGTTGAAATGGATACTCCGACTCCAGCAGCTGAATCAAGATTTTTTTGGAACTGTATGATCGTAATGAGCTTTGCACAGGTCATTTTTTTCACACAAAAATAACATTCCGAGAGTTTGAAGAAATTCAAACAAGTAATTCTGACTGCGAGGGAAGCTATTTTCTAGTTGAGGAAATTGTTTTCGCAAATAATAATTTGAAATTTATTGATCCGTTATTGTTATTTATTGGTTGCTATCCAATGACTGCAGAATATTAGCTTTTTGTAAAAAAATCAATTTTTAATAGGTTTCGTATAAAAAGTGTGCCATAAATTATTTGCATCGCTAATCGAATGTCAGATTCAGCTTTTTCGTAAAGGATCGAGTACTATCTGTCAAAATATTTCCCCCTATGCCAAGCGAAATTAATTCGATATACGGCGCTGATGTAAATGTCACTCTGTCATTTCACAATAATACTTTTTTGGCTTGACAATATATAAGCTCTTCATTTAAAATGCATACACATTCAAAGTGAATCGTTGAAAAAAATATGTCATAAAATATTTTTCTAACATTTTTCATTAAAAAATTTATTAAAATTTTTTTTTTTATAAAAAAATTAATTTGTTTATAAATTACAATAATTTCAACAAAAAATGTTTTATCGATTAAATAAGAATCCAATGTAAATAGTAAAGACTAATGACAATGCGACACCTACATAGATTCTGGAGTTGACGATTTAAGGGGGGGGTAATTTGAGAAAATCTCCAGGGGCCCAATTTTGAAAGTCCATTCTATCCAGTGTAAATTTGCTTTCGGAAAAAAAGTTGAGACCGAAAAAAAATTTGAAATTTTTATTATGACATATTCCAGTAATCACTAATATTATTACATTATTTTATTAAAATTAAAGATACAAGTTTTTTTTCATTTCCACTTCATTAATATGTAATTAATTTGATGATTTCACAAAAATGATGGTTTCGGCAAGAATTTTTTTGCCTTATCCTCGACTTCTGTCAAAGATACAGCTTTGTTTCGGCGACCTTTCGGGTCATCCGTTCGATAATGCTTTTGTTTTATAAATTCATTTGCGTACTTGCTTGCAGCGAACTTTTCTATTTCATTCACACTATTTATTCTAATGCGCATTATATCTTTTTTTCGTCTATTTGAAGTTGTTACACACTTCGACTCGAGGTGAGTTCGCAATGAATTTAAATTCTTTGGAGTAATCATATCAATCGCCGATAATAATTTGATTCGAAAATGCAGATGTGCAAAAACTGAGACATAAACAATATAGTTGATCGAACTTAATCAATTAAATAATCAAACAGTTGACCGGACTTAATTGTTTTGTCTACGGCGAATAAATAAATTTTGTTTAGTCGGACATTCGAATATGAAAATTGAATTTTTGAAAAACCTCAGCAAATCGGAATAATTTTTGCTCGAAAATAAAAATGGGAGTGGGTACTTTCAAAATCACAGAGGGGG